GATCATGGAGCCAATGGTCCAAACACAATAAATGAATTTTAGGACTACAGATTATTGTAATGCAATGAAAAAAAAAAAAGGTTTGAGAAACACTGCGCTAGTGGATTGTCAAAGAAAAAAATTATTAATTTTCCATTTTTCTTTTGGGGTTGCGACCCCCACTTTGGGAACCCCTGCTCTAAGCAAGGAGAAATGACACATAGTAAAAATGAAAACACACACCTATAATTCAGGATGTCTCATATCAATGGCAATGATAAGAATTAATATTTGATCAAGGGCAGTGAAAATATTACTTCTAAAAAAAAAAAGGTCTTGTGGCTCAACTTGCCCCGGGTTAGGGGTAAGTTGATCCAGGTCAGGGGCTAAATTGAACCACTGTTCAAACCTGGGCATACCTGTTCAAACCTGGGCATACCTACAACAAATCTTAAAGGTAACTATAAACAATAAATAACAAACCAAATACAAGTTTAGTTTTTCTAATATTTTTAATATAAATTTCGATTTAATTGATTGATTTTTTTTAACATGTTAAAAGGAAAAGTAATACAAATGGTGATACAATTTCATACATCTTACCAATCAAACACAGGGTAAATTCAACTTTAAAGGTAACCTACAATGACAGGGTAAATTCAACTTTAAAGGTAGCCTACAATGAGCTCTTATTATCAACTTGGCCTACTTTCATTAATTTCTCCATTGAAAAACTGGCTCAACTTACCCCAAGGCCCATGGTTCACTTTACCCCATAGCCACCATTTTAGAAAAAATAGCCTAGCATTACAATTCAGAGTCATCTTTAGCTTAATGATTCACATGGTTTAATACGGTGCCAACGCATCAACATATACAATATATGTGTTGAAAACTTGATTTTTTTTTTTTGACATGACAGCCGATATAGCTGACATCTAGAAAATGTACTTTGACAAGCAAAAAACGTTTTTTTGTAAAAATGTTTACTTACCAGACCACAATGAGCATCTTTTTTTCCACAGGCAATGAGAAATGGGTGGAGCTTACATAATTTCTGGTCATGTGATTACAACTATAAGGCATTGCCTGGTTACAGGGGGTGGTTCAATTTACCCACTGGCTCAACTTACCCGCTTCTCCCCTAGTCATATTTCGTGAACCCTTTGAAGAGTACTGTCACACCGGTGTGATCATTCACACAATTTAAGCCCGGGGGAGAAATGCTAACGCTAATGCTACATTAGCATCGGCGATCTTTTCTACTTCATGCTATCTGGACAAATGGTTGAAATTAAATATTAAAAAGATCAGGCAGTTCAGAGAGAATCAAAGGAAGACAGGCAGGCAGCTTTGCATGACATTCTTCAGGACGTGTTTCATTGTGGTGATAATGAGGGTAGTCACTGTATTTGTAGTGACGGCCATCTTGGTGACGTGTGTTGTTGTGCGAGGCCAGATATGTAGTTCATTGAGCATTTCACGCAAAAAAATGTGTTACTTTACAGTTTTTGACTTGCAAAATTATCTTTTAAATTGACAAACACGTGTAATTTGTGGCACAATTCAAACGGGATCGTCCTCTCTCCATTGACTTCAATACATCATTTTTCTGAAATAAGGTCCCATGGAGGTCCACCGGAAGGGGATGCACTTCGCCACTCTATAGAACACACTACAGGAAAGGGCCCAATAGGCCCCCTTTAACCTTTCATTAGACTGGATATGTTAGAGTGCACGGAGCAGCAGAGAAGCTTTCTGTTTAGCAGCTGGTCTGGTGACGACAGCAGAGTAGATGACGTGGTCCTGGTTCTGGTCTGCTGGAGTCCTGCTGGGTCCCCCTCTCCAGTTCGGTCGGCCCAGAGAGGCGTAATGGATCGCCTCCTCCTGCGGAGACGGGCTCTCAGAGTCCTGACACTCTGAAATGATACAGGCGTGTATAGTGAGGGGAGAACACACCTGACTAATGAATGAAACAGTAGAAAAGGTGTGGTACCAGTCTGTGTGTTGGACGTATTCCACGGCTGCAGCTCTGTGTCTTCCTGACTCTGGGCTGCAAACAGAGACAAGAGATGAAGATGGACATAAAGATGGCGGAAGTTTGTTTACAATGAATACGCTTCTCAAATGTTATGAAAAGAATAAAGAAACATGCTGATTATAGGGTCAGGGTTCACTTCAACATTTAACACACCCAACTGAAATGTTACGTTTTGTATTGATGATGGAGGTTTCTTGCTCCCTCGATCTAATTTAAACAGTGAGATAAACAATTTTCAAAAGTGTGTGAAGTGATCAGAGATCTTCATCTTTTTCAAATTTCAGGTGTCTCCTATCAATCAATTGTTGTTGGACTGTTGCATCACCTTGATCAGAGACCCCCTGTGGTCAATTGAACTGATTGGATTAGGAAAGGCACACACCTTATTATAAAAGGTCTCAGAACTAAAGTAAAGCCGTGACATGAGCCGCGAGTACTTTTCCCCATACTTTTCGCGTTTAATTCCGTTAGTAGCCCTTATGTCGCCTTCACACCAAAAAGAGTACTGAGTGCCGGGAACTTTTACCCCCATTTTTAGTGCCTGCTGAGAGATGGTACTTTCCTGGGGGGGAAAAGTGCCCCAGTTCTGATTGGCTGGGCGAATTGCAAACCACGCCCCGTAAAACTCTGAAATGTTTTGTAGAGCCGCCATTTTATTATCCTCGCATTAGCATTATTAGCATTAGCATTCGCCCAGCGCACAAACGCAGAGAGACTAACTTATGGCAACACAAAAGAAAACATGGGAGCGGTGGAGATGAGGAGGTGTCGGCGTTCTGGCAATTTACTCGGAAGGCTTCAGTAGAAGCTGCTGGGAGTCCCAGCAGCTTCTACTGAAGCCAGTCCCCAACTCCGGGGACTTCCGGCCGGGGACTCCGGGTGGCAGTATACGCCGTGAAGTTGTTTGCAGCCTGCCAGTAAACCCAAAGCAGAAGGAGACGAAGTGACGTCAGCGGCTCATTTGCGTAATCTTCCCTCAGGGAAAAGTACTTCAGTGTGAACGCGATCTGTACTTAGTGCCCTGGGGTAATAAGTGCCGGCACTAAGTACTGCAAAGTACGCAGTGTGAACGCGGCTATGGAAGGAGCTGCCGGCAGATCTCAAAGACAGGATTGTGTTTCGCATGATCAGGGGCAGCCAACTAAGAAATGTTGCTGCATTGTAGGTTTTGAAAAATAGACCTCAAAGACCGTAAGAAACAAAGAACTTTGGTCATATGAAGCCAAGGTTAGGAAGGTTTCTAACATTGAAATCACCTGGAAGTACCTAAATGTCAGCCATGATACTGTAAGAACTGTCTGAATTCTCTATACGTTATGGAAGGAGCTTCAATGCTTCCTTTATGATCTTCTTTAGCTCTGGTTATACTTGACCATCCTTAATTATATCCTTCATTCACTAAAAATGTTCTCGGAATTAACCAATCGCGACCGAACAAATGCAGAATATTCTCTTCATCGACTCGCGAAAAGGGAAGTTTGATTTATTTTTCTGTCCTCTCGTTATTTTGTGCGTAGTAAATGTAATGTATTTATTGCTATTATCAACAGTAACACCTTACATTACTGCGTTACAGACACATGTAATCTGATTACACATTACCACAGCCTAGAGAACCATGCACAGTGCCATCCCTATACAGGGAAGCTTGGTGGAAGCGTGTCGCTGTGGGGATGTGTTTCAGCTGCAGAGACTATGGGATGGTCAGACACAATGACATGTGGGGCTCTCTGCCAATCAGGTACCCGCACATCTGTGTTTCCTTCTCCTCCTGCACCTCATGCCGGTCAGTAGAACACAGACCCCGGCCATGAGGAGGATCATTAACCCCATCACTGCCACGGCAACCATCAGCAGGGCTGAGAGAACACACAGAACATCTGCTCAACAAACACCCAAACATCCACATCTGTACACTCTGCATGACTCAGCAGGGGGTGTGCTGACTCACCATTCACAGGTGTCTTCTTCTCCTTCTTCTTTATTTTAACCTCCTCTGATTAATAGAACAGAAACACAACTCCAAACTTAGTTAAAACTATTAAATACAGTTTATATCCTGTTGAAACAGCTTTTTTTTTTAAGAATGTGAGTCACTTACGAAATAATAAACTCCAGATACAATTAAATTAAAAGGAATTAAACTAAATCACCTGATTTGGAGTATACTAGTCCAGTTCTTCTGATCCATTGTGGATATGCATATTACATATTTTTATGATACTTGGAAGACAAAATAAAACTAACCATTGTGATGATGTTTTGTTTAGAAATAGGTTATCTAGTAAAGTAAAGTATAAGGATTTTTGTTATAATAGCTAACATTATCTATTATATGTATAAAGCCAGGTATAGGTTGTAAATAAATACATTTAAAATAAGCAAAAAAATAATGGCAATAATTTTGTGTGTGGTAAAGTTATCCTACCTGTTTCCATGACGACAGCTGTTGCAGTTGTTCTGGTGGTTGGCTGGAGGATGGTCGGCTCAGGCTGCACTGATAATCAGAAAAGACATACCTTGTTTAGCTGAAATGTATGTTAGTAAGTCCAACGTTACTCATGTAACGGGAGAGATTTCCTTTTTTTCTCGTTTAAAATAAACTTGTTAATAAATGGAGCAACATGGACTTAGCTTAATTCATTTAAAAAAGGCAACCATATAAAAGGAGAAATATGTTAGTTTAACTGGGGATTTAATTTCTCTGTTGATTTAAAGCTAAACAATGATTTTATAATAAAAATAACAAAACATCTTGGTGGTGCAACCAAACCATAGAATGCAATTACTGGAACTATTGTCCCTTTTTTCTTTTTTACATTTCTTTACCCTGCATAAGCTAATAATCTACAGCATTACACTAAGTATTGAATAAGCATTCCAATGTGTGACACAATGGTAGTTAATTATTCTCATAAAAATCTTAATTTATGAAATGAAGGGATTTCTATCCACTGGCTTTTAATTTGAAATTGAAACAGGAAGTGTTGAGCTGAACAACCTGATGCACTAAGAAAAAACCGTAAGTACATGCAGGATCTGATCGATACAACAACACATAAAAGAGCCCCAGTACGCCATGCTTCAAATAAAACCATGGTACCTTCTGGAGCTGAGGTAAATAAATACTCTCTTTGATAATAAATGTAATAAATACAATTATCAGTGGAATAGTAGAAACACACTGGGGTCTTCTTTATTTTGTTTATGTTAGTTTTTCAGAAAAGATTGCATTGTTTAAATTAAGTTTTTTAATTCCAGCCATAGGACCACCTGTGAGGACGGAGAGTCTGGCCTGCAGCTTCCCGTTACACTGGAACTCTCCGGAGTCCTCTGGCTGCAGGTCCTGGATCTGCAGGGCCTCGTTCCTCAGGCTGATCCGGCTCCTCTCTGCTCTCACTGTACCGTTCCTGAGCAGCGTGAGCAGGGTCAACCACGGCCCCCCCTCCCTCCGCTGGGACCACCTCTTCTTGCGTTTGGAGGAGTCGCTGCAGGGGAGCAGCAGGGTCCGGCCTGCAGGAACCAGGAAGTCCTCGCCTGAGGGCACAGACACAGAGGGATATGGACTCTGTCATCAGGGAATGGAAACTCTTTAGTTGAGCATTGACTTCAAACTAAATGCTTGAACACTGGTACTGATGTCTTATGATTCTGGATGATTTTAATTGGAAGGCTTGGCCAAGGAAACAAACAATTGCATTACAAAAAAGAATACAGAGAAGTGTTAATCTGGTTTACCATTGTCGGACAAACTCTCCTCAGCTCTGAATATTTAACCCACTCTTAGGACATATGTGCCTGTAATGTATATAAACATGTATACACTACACTCCAGAAACAGAGGCGCCACCTAAAGGTTGACATGGAAATCACAATTGTTATCTTTCTGGTGTGACCTAACAGCGACCTACGACCTACCTGAGTTGAGTGAATCCCAACATGAAAAGGACATTCATCCTCATATTGAAATATCCATAAAGGGTACTGTATTTATGTATATACATATTTTTTCAACTGTGTGTGTGTGTTTACTTATGCTCAAATTGGGGACTTTCATCAGCTCACACACCAGTCATTTGGGGACGCCTTTCCCTTTGGGGACCAAAACCACCGTCCCCAATTAGATTTAATTGTGAATGTATTTTGGCCTTAAAATATCAACTGTCCCTAAAAGTGACTTTTTTCAGATTATCTGTGTGTGCTCACCACTCCACCCCCCCCACTCAATCTGTGTATAACTCTACATCGCCCCTAGTGGTAGTGTGGGGGATTGCCGGGTCCCCAAAAGTGATGTTTTTCATATTTTCTGTGTGTCCAGGGCTCTATAGGTAGCCCACATTAAGCCTGATAATAAAGACATAATGATGGCTGCTAATGTAGCTTGCACTACAGCGTGCTTAAATAATAAATTCACTGGTGATGTGGTTTGTCCAATAGAGAACCGCAGTGACGCGTCGTAAAACCCGGAAGTAAACTTCTTCCGGTTCCTTCGCCGAAAAACCAATGCAAATTCTCCATAGGATTTTGGAAAATAGCTCGTAAGGTCTGTGGTTGACACACATTTAAGAGAGGGATCACGTTTTGTTCAGCCGGATAATCTCCACATGTCAACCCTACTTTTATAATTTTTGAATCATAAATCTAGTCGCCAAAAGCGAAATGCTAACGTTATGCTATAAACTAACTACAAGCCAGTACAGCAGCAGGGTCGCACGACTTCAACGTCACGCCAACTTAAGATCGTTTCAACTGACTTGCACTGAAACTGCACTTTGAACACTTTAAATATATTAACATTTTAAGCTGTATACCCCGGTTATCTAGGCCCGTTTTGTTTAATGTATACCACGTTTATCTAGGCCCTTTTTGTTTTATGTATACATGTCACACTGTGGGAGACAATATTTCGATATTTCTGGATGTATAACAGCATTTTTGACAATAAAGCTGAATTTGACTTTCGCGTGCTTGCATATTTTAACAAAGCTTTTCATTTTAGCCACACTGAATTTAACTAGAAGTCATGGCTGTGTCAATTACCAGTCTGATATCGTTTTACAAAGATGACAAGAAGAGTGTAGATAGAGGAGAGAACCACTACAAGTCAGGACACGTAACAGTGCAGCCTAGATGAAGGTGTGCTTACCGGTGTTGTCAGGGCTAGCATGAGGGACAAGGTTTATAGTGTCGGTGAGTAGTGATAGCAAGAGTACCGTTAACCTTTTAAGACCGAGTGAATTTATTCACATTAATTCCCATCAACAAATCAATTGTATGTGTCACATGAAATCTTTATTAGGCAAGGCAAGTTTATTTATATAGCACTTTTCAACACAAGGCAATTCAAAGTGCTTTACAAAAAATGAAAGACATTAAGAAAATGGCATTTAAAATCAGTCATTAAAAAGAAAAGCTAATAAAA